GTGTGTGTGTGTGTGTGTGTGTGTGTGTGTGTGTGTGTGTGTGTGTGAGGGGTGTTCTTCTATTACATGTTTTAAATGTTTTGCTGTCAGTCGGCAGCTCCAGAGTCGTTCTGCTGGAGAAACACTTCGGGACATGAAGTGTCAAACAGACGAACCTTCTTTTTTTTACACGTGTGGATGAAGTGTAGAATAATGTAAAGAATGAGTGTTTGTGAGTCTATCTTCTGTCTCTTTACAGACATCAAAAAAGGTTCAAATGGTTCTGAAGTAAAGTTGATGAATAGAAATGAAAAGTTTCTTTATTGTCATAATTCTCTGTGAGTTAAAATCACATTTAGACGAGTAGTTGAAATAAAGATGGATGAAAAGCTTTTCTCTCACTCTGTCTGACCTTTTTTCTTATTTGTCTCCATGTCTTCTTTATTCATCCTCTTTCTTCTTTTAATCAATCTCCTTTATTCTCTTCTTTCCATGCTTTTCACACATTTCTTGTTTATTCTTTCTGCCTTTCAATTCCTTTCTTCCTTCCTGTTTCCTTGCCTTTTTCTGTCCTTCCCTCCTTCCTTCCTCTGTGCACTTTCCTCGTCTTTCCTTTCTTCCATCCTTCCGTCCCCTCCTCTTCCATCTCACCTCTCCAGTTGCCGTGGCCCTGAGGAACCAGAAGGTCAACATCTCCAGAGGAAATGGCCAGTTCACCGAGGTCTCCAACTCCGTTACGATGCCGACGCTCAGTCAGCTGACGCTTTGCTTTGAGGTGGAACGCAGCAGCCAAAAACGGGTACGAAGGTGTAGACGGAGGAACACTTCATCCAAATGACTCTACTTCTCTCTTGATTTATTACATCAGTAAACATTGTAAACATGAGTTTATGGTCTCAAGCTCTAGTTTCAAGTCTTCTTCATTTAGTACATTATGGTCCATTTAGAGTCAAACAGACCATAAAGCAGGGGATGCTTTAGGGCGGGGCTACACGGTGATTGACAGGTCTCTACCAGAGACGTGTACGGCGTCTCTACGTCACTCCTCCTCAGTCAGATATGGTCACTTCCTGTTCACTAGAAAAGAAAAAAAACATGGCGCCGGTTGTAATCCATGCCGAACCGGAGACTTCATAACGTCAGTCCACAAACCAATGAGGTGACGCCACCATGACTATGTCCACTTCTTACATACAGTTTGTGGGCTACACCCTCAAGTGAAGCTTCTTGTGCTAAAGCACTCAAAGTGACGATCGGTTCTCTTGGTTTCCTGAACAGAGAGAGTGGATCTTCAGTTACTATGACGGCAGCGGCAACGAGGCGCTGAGTCTGGGCTCCGATCAGTCCGGCATGAAGGTGATCGTGGACGGAGTGGTGTGCCCCGTCGACTCCATCATCTCCTCTGCCAACTTCACCTCCTCCATGAGGCCTTACTGCGTGCTCTGGACGTCGTCCAATGGCCGATTGGGAGTCTACTTCAATGGAAACTATTGGGCCAAGACCTGCTCCTCTTCTGGTGGCCACTCGGTGCCAGCTGGTGGACAGTTCCGGTTAGGAGGTAAGCTTTATCCCAAATGAATGAGCTCTGATGTGGCAGGTTCGTTAATCCAGGTCGAAGGGTATTCAGTATGGATGCACCGATACCAGTATCGATACGGTGCTCAAGTACTTATACTCTAAAAACTACTCTGATACAACCTGCACCCGAAACCAACAAGTCACCCAGCTGCAACGATAACCGATGATAAATACATCACTTACCGCCAGGTGCAGTGTTTGAGCAGCGACAATGTTGTGTTCATTGTCATGGACACACCAGCCAAGATCATGACATACTTAGTTAGGTTTAGTAAAAGACCCATAATCTAAGTGTAGTTGCTGATAAAAGTCCTGACGATGGCGCTAGATGAAAAGTCAGAGGATCACCAAAGTTCTCACAGCTCATCCTAAAAAAGACAGAAGACGTGTGATGGTTGACGGCGTTCTGTCTGTGTGTGTTCAGGGCAGCACAGCTTCGACGGGAACATCTACAACCTCCGGCTGTGGGATTACGCCATGACGGTGCAGCAGCTGCACGCGCTGAGCTGCGACACGGTGGGGAACGTCATCGACTGGGACAACAGCCACTGGACCATCCCGTCCGGCTCGGCCCAGACCGACACCACGCTCAGCTGCAGTGAGTAACGTCACGGTCCGTCACGTCGGTTGATGAGGTCACAGCAAACATTCAACAATCAACATGGTTTTGATGCTGCGATATTATGTAAAATACCACGTACACACACACTCAGTATTGTCCCATGCAGGAACTTCAAGCACTAAATGTTTCAGTCTGTTTCCGATCAGGGTGGAAAATTACAATCAGACTTCAGCCAAATTCTGGTCAGTTTTGACTGCGGCTTGTAAATTAATTGACTCCAGCCACCAGTTTGGCTGCCGACCAACCACCTTTCTGATTCCTGCTCTCAAAACCCAGTTGGCTGGTAAAACACCCTGGGAGTAGATTCACGACACACACGCACACATACAATCCTATATTACCAACACTGGACTATAATACCGCTCCAACCAAGTGGGGACCGCTGTTTCTAGTCATTAAAAAATTAAATAGAATAAAAAATGTACTTCTTCCCGAAGATCGCTGGACTTTTTCCAACATGCACACACAGATTCCTATAGTACCAACAGTGGACTATCACACTACTCTGACAAAGTGGGGACCTCTGTTTCTGGTCATTTGAAAATTTGAAAAATAGAATTAAAAGTGTACTTGTAACATCTTTTCTTAGAAAGGTCACATCAAATGTGCACACACACACACACTGGTCCTAAAGGCCACAGACTTCTTTGACACACTTACAAACCTGAAACCACGTTTACATAATCAACCGTTTTCTTACCGTATTTAAGTATTAACCATAAAAGACTGTAAGAGTACATTGAGTTTGTGTGTGTGTGTGTGTGTGTGTGTGTGTGTGTGTGTGTGTGTGTGT